TGGAAGCAGAGACCCAGATGATTCTATTGCTGAATTCTATCTTTAAATGCAGACAGAAATGATTCAAATCTCTGCAAATTCTCTCAGAATATATAAGAAAAGGGACATTTCCTAATGCATTCTCTGCTTCCATCAATACTCTATTAAACAAGCATATAAATACATTGTGACAAAGGAAATTCCAAACTGCGTTTCTCATGATGTAGATGTGAAGTTCCTCAGTGAATTACTAGCACATACAATCTAATGATGCATCAAAGCACTACACACCATAACCATAGGGACTCATTCCAGGTATGTGGGGATGGTACAAGACATAAAAATCAGTTTATGTAATCTACAGAATTAACAGGTTGAGGAAGAAATTCCTGTGAGTACATAAATTTGTGCACTAAATTTTTTTGACAAAAATATAATTTACTATGAGGATAGATACTTCCTAAAGCTAAGAAGAGAGAAGGAACTTCCTGAATGCGACAAAAAGCATTGACAAGAAAACCTGTAGCTAACACCCTGTTTCATGGCAGCACTGGACATTTTCTCCTCAGATAAAGAACAAGTCCTCTTTTCATGTTCTCATAATCAGTCACAGACTTGACATCTTTCACAAATATCAACTCAAAATAATTATGGACCTAAGTGTGAAATGTAAGACCATAAAGCTTTGAGAGACAAAATAGGAGAAATCTGGGCTACTTTTAGTTTGTTGATGAATTTTTAGAAAAAAAGCACAAAAATGCAATTGATTTAAAAATTACTATGTTAGACTTTATTAAAATGTTTTTAAAAACTGTGCTGTGAAATACACTGATGAGAACATTGAAAAGTAAGCAACAGAGTGGTACAAATCATTTACAAAACACATAACTGACAGATTTAAAGTCATCACATACAAAGAATCCTTAAAAGTTAGCAATAAGAGAGCAAATTCCAAATTTAAAAAATGGGTAAAAATCTGAACTTATGCTTCTCCTACAATATAGTCAAGAGGTCCAGATACTAATAAACAAATGTAAGAATGCTCAACTCTCCTTTTCACTAGACAATTGGAAATTAGGACAAAAATATGAGATCACATCATTACTGTTAGAATCGGTAAAATCTAAAAAACAGTAATTTCAACTACTGGAGAAGATGGCCAGCATTGGAATCTCTCATTCCTCACTGATAGGAATCTTAAACAGCACATCCACTTTTATTTTTGTGACACTGGGGATTAAATTCAGGACTTTATGCTTACAAGGCAGGTGGCAGAACCACTGAGGCAAATCCCAGCCCAACCCATCCACTTTTGAGGCCACTGTAGCAGTTCTGCATGAAGCTGAGCAGAGTCTTACATTTCAAAATTGTAGTTGTGCACATCTTCAAGTGATTAGAAAATGCAAGTCCATCTGAAACCTAAACATGAGTATTTAACAGGTTTTCTCACAATCCCCCCAAACTGGAAATAAGAAAGATATTCCTCAATAGTGTACAAGTAAACAAAGCTTGGCACACTTTATGGAACATTATTCAATTTTTAAAAGAGGCTAAAGTTATTAGCCATGAAAAGACAGAGTTAAGTCTTCAATGCATATTGCTATGTGAAATAAATCTGGAGTCTGCATACTGTCTGATTCCAATTACATATCACTCTGGAAAGAAAATGCAATATAGATAGCAAAAATGTCAGTGGCTCCCATGGGTTTGGGGGAAAGAGGTGGGAGTTAAAAGATGAAACATGTGATTTTACTTAACATATATGAGGTTGTATTCTTGGACATGTATCACTATGCATTTTTCAGAATTTATAGTACTTTACAACATACAGAGAGAAGCTTGAAATATACAAATATGAAAATTCTTGCTCTTAAGCGTTCAATGATCCCAGGCTTGAGTGTAGAATGAGACAAAACAAACTATCTATACCACAGATGTGTAGCAGAATCACATTGAGAGTACAGGCAAGAAGCCTCTGGCCTTAGGAGACTTGGAAAGGAAGTGGCTCAAGAAACTAAAGATCTTATTTATTTCACGTAAGAGTACGGCCTCAATATGCATCCATTTTCCTATGAATGACTCTAGTTTCTTTAAGTCTGAGTAGTACTCTATTTATAGAAAACCCACATCTTCTTTATACACTCTCCAATTGATGGGCAATTGGGCTGTTTCCAAGTTATTACAAAGTGTGCCACTATAAACATAGGTGTGCATATATCACTGTGGTATAGTTCTTTTAATTCTTTTGGAAAGATACCCAACAGAGGGATAGCTGGGTCAAATGGGACGTCTAATCCTAGTTCTCTGAGGTATGTGCATATTGATTTCTACAGTGGTTGCACCAGTCTGCACTCCCACCAACAATACTGAATAGTTTCTCTGGAGTAAAAACTAAAAATGTAAATAAGATCCAAATTATATAGCTGACAATGTGAAATAGGAAGAAAAGGGCTAAAGGTATAGGGAAGTAGGAAGGGCAGGGGAAGGGAATTAGGGAAAAGAAAAAAATATGAGAAAATGAAAATATGGAAATAAAGTGTTTGTAAATGGGGAGGGGAGGAGGAGGTGAAGGGAGGTCAGGGGTATGGGGAAAAAATGAGAACCAAGATCTGTAATGTAAATGTACAAGATCCCAATAATGAATGTATCTGTACTGTATACTTAAAAAATACCAATAAACTCAGTGGAAAAAGAAACCAAAGGTCACATTAACCAGAAGTGAGCTCTGTAGAGTGCTGCCATGAGCTAGGGCAGATGATTCTGTACACTCTCCACTTGCACTGGACCTGAACAAACCATGAGCCAATGGCAGAGAGTGAAAGCTCACACCTGGCATCATGTAGATTCAGACAGTGGCATGCAGAAATAATGCAGAAATCATGTGCACATGGTTCTGTGTTCAATCAGATGAGGTCTTGAAAGCACAATAATAATAATAAACCCTGTGAACACCCATGTGCATGTCTGGGCTTCTAATACCATATTATAATAACAACAATAAAGACAACAGTAGCAACCAGGGATCCTGTGAGTAATGACTCATTCTATGGGAGGTACAGAAAACATACAAACTGAGCTTGAGCAGTTTGTAGTGCCAGAATGAGGAGGTCCTAAAACATGCTAAGTCTTTTAGTCATTGTATGCACACATTCCATAACATGTACAAGTATGTGTTCATCAAAATTAAGTAAAAATCAAACATACTTTGTAAAGAAAAACACTCATTAAAGTTTTGTCTTTTCATATTACTAGCTTTGTAAATTGATAAATAGATATTTTAATTCAAACAAATAAATGAGCAAGTAAAAACACCAGGGTAGAAGTACATCAAAGGGATGGGTTCCAAGTGAAACAGCTTCCAAGGTCCAAAAAGGCAACATTTTTTCCATAAAATATATACACGTGTATTGAGTTAAAACCCAAGGTATGCAACAAAAAACCCTGAGTTATAAAATTGAAGTTAAAGTTGCAGTGCAAACCCCAGGAAGCTGGAGAATTCCAGGGATTTGGGACTTAGTGTAAAAGTTTTTGTTCACCTTCTACTTCACTTCTGTAAACCCAGTCCACAGAGAAACATGGAGGACAAACCTTTATCCTGCATGACAAGGGGGATAAAAACCACAACACTGTAACTTTACACAAAACAACATACTTGAACATGGGTGTGCATAGTCTTTGAAAATAATCAGCATTTTGGCTACTAATCCCATGATGACTGTTATTCCTTTAGAAAATACTATGCCTAACAGTATAGACTTATACATTTTTATCATATGAAAAACATGTTTTGGTGCTGTGGCATGTTTTCTTATTTCTTGGGAAAACCAAGGGAAGTTTGGAGCCTCATCTGTTCCTGTGTCCGTCCATCTCAACAAGCTCTCTAAAGTATACAAACGCATAATCTAAACACATACACACACACACACACACACACACACAGAGCTTCACACCAACTTTGGGGCATGATGGTTTTCTCAAGCTCCTGCTGTATATGAGTCATGGAATTCCCATTGGCTTTATTCCAGTTGATACAACCCAACTTTGTACATGAAGTGAGAAACTGAGGCTGGAGGGCTACACAATAACTTGTCCAAACTCATGGAAGGAAGAGAGCAGATGAACTGCTATTGCATACAGAGTCTGAGCCCTGAAGGTAGCAGAATATGCCACCAAAAGTGTGCCATAAGATGAAGAACATTTTTTACTGGAGGCAACTGCAAAAAAAGCACACTAGACATACTGTCTGCCTATTTGCCTAAAAGCAGGGCTTCATTTCAAAAGGTGTTCCTCCTCTGCTCCCTTCAGCAAGGGTCAAAGTTGATTACTGTACTGGTGTCAGCCTGAGACCCATAGGAGCCCTGGAACAGTCCCAGAGGAGTCCACATAACCCCTTTCACCAGCTGCCCTTTGTCTACCCTGGTTTCCAATGGGTTTCTTTTCCTGTTATCTGTGGCCTTGTCTGTCACCTGTGTTGTTTGTTAGCAAAGCCACATGAGGCAGAGTTTTGAGCCACTTCTTTGAGAGAATTTTTTCCCTTGAGTTTCCTGCCCTGTGTGTATGAAGTATATGTGTTAATAAAATTCTGCTTCTTTTCTCTTCTCTGGTTACAGGGCATTGCAGAATTTAGAAAGCAGAGGGAAACTTATTTTTCCTTCCTTTACAGCCCAAATTCCATTCTCCTACTTTGGAAGTCTTTCCACAAGTTTACTCACATTTTAGATCAGGAAGGAACTTTCAGAGTTTCCTTGTCACTGAATTACAACCTTTCAAATACATCATTCTATGTGAGAATCACAATTTAAGGTTTTAAAATTTAACAAAATAGAATCTAACTTGCATATCATGAGAAGACATTTTCTGAAGCCTTACCTCAGATTTCCAAGTTCTCCTCTTGCTCCCTCTCCCCACTCTGTGAGCCTGTCTCTAAGCAGCCTGCATTACCTCATTTCTTCCTCTGAGATCACAGTGCCTCTCTCTGGCATGTAACTCCTTGAGTTTTGTGACAGTCACTTTCTTATCTGGAGGAGAGGTCTCTTCAGATCTACACTGAGGTACGTGTTTGGATAGAATTTTGACTAGCTGACTTTGAAGACTTGACTGTCTCTTGTTGGAGACTCATAAACTGGTGACTCTGGGCTGCCTGATGGGAAGGAGCTCTAGAGCGCTGGACAGGGACAGGGAGATGTCTGCAGGAGAGAGAGGAAAGACAGAGGACTGGGGGCAGCTGAGTCTTGCACAGACCACTTTCCACATGGATGTGATGAGACCACGCTAGCTACTGAGATTTGGCTACATCCCTCTCCTGATTCCTGTGATGGTTGGATCTTATAGGAGGTTACTGCAATTTCTGGGTTAGTGGCATGGACTTTACCACTTGGACTCTGCTGTCCTTTCCTTTGCGGGTGTGGCTATCACCATTTATTTAAACTTAAGTAAATGGAAACACTCATGTTCTGAATAGTTAACATTCCATGTTGTCCACTGGGGTAGAAACTGCTGCTGAGTCTCAGAGGCCACTCTATGCCCAGAGAAGCAGCTGGCATGGGGGTCCCACAGCTGGCACTGAGTTACAGGAAGACACTTGGCCATAGGAGTGAGAAGAGGGCACAGCACAGACTTGGTGGAAAGAAAGCCCTGGTGATATTGCTTTGTGAGTAGCCTGGAAGTTGCCTTAGCTGATTCCTGTCAAACTTTAATCAGGTAAATGAAGTATAGACAAAGCTACAGAGTCATCTTTCCACAAAGGGGCACAGGGCAGCTAAGGACCAGAAGAATTTCTGTTCCCCAGTGTCCCCAGTGGAAGCCTCTGTGTCATTAGTGAGAACTCCCCTCTTTCTGGATCATCCCTGGTGCTTTTAATGGGGTGCAAATCCTCCTGCTTGAGCTCTTCTTAAGCACAGACAGGCTATTTAAGCCTTTTACACCCTTCTTGTACTCCCCTGGTCACGCTCTGAACAGCAAGATTTTACTAGATCCAAAAGAGTCCTGTAGAGAAGTTTCTTAATGAAGCCAGAGATGTACAGAAATAGCCTTTAATACCTGGAGGCATGGAACCAGGAAGAAATGCTGAGATGTATTTTCATGGCTGGTTGGTTTCTTCTTCTTCTTTTTTTTTTTCTCAAATGTGCCAATAGGAAATTTAGAGTGTTCCCATTGATGTAAAAGCCTGGAGCATGAGACGCTATTCTTACCCTTTATGCAAGTCATTTTTTTGAGAAGTTCATAAAGTCAGGATAATTCACTGAATGCTCTATTTAAGTGGAAATCTATCCTTTAAAGTACGTGGTGTGCTGAGGCCTAGTCTTCCTTTCTCTGAACTAAATGACAACCACTTTTATCTCTGGGTTTTTTAAACAACTGTGAAGTTGGAATGGAAAATATCTAACCAGATATCTGTCATTTTGCCTCTTCCCCTACAGAGGTGAGAAATGTTCAATGATTGGGAAAGAAGTGAGAAAATAGCAGATAAGAGGGAAGACTTAACTGAGTTCACCAGGGAGTCTGAGGGGGAGAGAGGAGGCTGAAATAGGAGAGGAAGGATGCATTTTGCACATAAACCTACAGGTCCATCTCTATGGCAAAGGTCCTAGAAAGCAGTCTTTGCTTTCCCTTTCAGCAAAGGACTGCAAGATGATATTTTTTTCATTTCTGTGTCATCAAAAGCATCAGGATGTGGTTTTTAAAAGAAAGATAAAATGAAATTTTCAAGGTCTGTAGCCATATTTCAGGAACATGGCTCACCTTGTTCTATTTCAAAAATGATCTGTTCTATGCCAATCAGTTTTGGAAAAACGAAGAAAGACTTCATTTGTGAGCCACTTGTTTAAAGAGTGAACTTGTAGTGTTTTGTGATGGTTGAAGGTTGGGGCATGGATGTTCCCCAAGGCTCTGTGTTAGCAGATTGGTTCAAATCTTGGCCCTGCTGGGAGGAGGTGGGATCTCTAGGAGGTGTGGTCTATATGCAGTGCTCCATTCTTTAAGAGCACATGCTTAGAGAGGTTGGGGACCCTGACTGCTTCCTCTCTAGCACTTTTGCTTCCAGGCTGCTGTGAATTGAGCAGCTTTTTTAACCCCATAGGCTCCCTGCCATAATGTGCTGCACCCCACAGCCCAGAAGCAATGAGCCAACCACACACAAACTGGACCTTCCAAACCTTTGAGCTGGAATAACTTTTCCCTCCAAAAGGTGATTGTCTCAAGCACTTGCTACAGTGATGAAAAATTTAAATCACAGGTATATGCCACCATTACCTGGAAAATGACAGAACACGTCACCAGGCAGATGTTCTCCAGTACAGAAATATGCATTAAATAGGGATGGATAAAATTCCTGAAAGCAAAGTGATAGTAAATTAGGAAATGGCTCTTTTTAGTGCCACATTGCACAAAGCACCTTCAAGAAGTAATATTGCCCTCACATTTGGTATTGGTCTTAGTTTACCACACCAAGTCTCATTTGCTGTTTTTGCTTTGCATCTGGGCATGTAGAGGTCCTTGACTTGTGTTTTCAACTCTGTATTGATGAAAAGCAAAGCCCTTTCCTGGTCTGATTTGATCTCCTCTGCTAGTGACATGGGTTAGCTACACCTGTGTTTCTATTTCCTTCCTGGGTTCACCTGCTGTGAAAAGAAGCATATTTTTATCATTTACTGAAATGGCTGGCTGTCTGCATTAGAGAATGGAAGGAGGCCATGCCTACCATGGGAGTATCTTGTCCTGCTCAGCAAAGAGCCTCGGTTAGGAGCCTGGCTGAACCTGGTGGGCTGTGAGCTGGCTTTGCTAGCAGCTGCCTCTGTGTATCTCCTCCCAGCTCTGTGTTCACTGCCTTTGATGAGTCACCTGGGATTGATAGGGGTGGGAGTGTGTATACCACAGACATGGGCTGGTGCTACTAACCAGATGGCCCCTTCCCGTAGCAGTATCCCAGACAATGCTGGCTGCACCAGCTCTCTGCACTAACTCAGTGTCTAGTTAATTTTCTTATTGCCAAGACAAAATACTTGACACCCAAGTCAAGAGAGGAAAGGTTTATTGTGGTTCACAGTTCATAAAAGTTTCAGTTCATGGTTGGCTCCAAGGCAAGGTAGCATGGCCGAGGGGCATCATAGAGGACAAATAGTTCATGGTAGACAGGGTGGTAAGGACAGGGATTCCCTCCTTCTGCCCAGACCCATCCATCAGACAGAGGCTGTGCCCTGAGCCTGTCCCTGAGAAAGTGGCTCTGTCCAGCTGAGCCTTCCTGCTTGTAGGGTGGAAGTGCCAAGATGCAGAAGACCAGGAGGACCCCAAACTCTTTCCCCTGCCCACTGCTGACCACATATCTCTGCGAAGAGTGATGTACCTAGAAAGAAGTTTGCCCTTGTCTCCACCTCACTCCAAAGTCCTGGCTCATAGTGTCTGCCTGCAGTGAGGTAGAGGGTGAGCTGGTTATAAAACTGATAAACTTCTGATTTTTTTTCCCAAAAGGAACTGACTCTATTTGCAGCCAAGCACAGAGAAGTTCAATCATTAGGATGCTCTCAAGAGCAGTGGAGTCTGGTGAAGCTGAGGGGAACATTTGTGGAGATGATAAAGATATAGCCCAGGCTGCCAACTGGGTAGTTTAGAGTAGATGAGCAAGGATACCGCACTGGGAATAGCTTTCCTGCAGTAGCAACAAAATCATAGACTTTTCAAAAAGGCACCATTGATTAATTTATAGATCAATTTAAACTGCAAGGTATTTCTGAAAACAAGAGTGCAACCAGTCAGCAATTAATGGAGTTTAACAGCTAAGAGTGGCCAGGAAAAAAGAGAAAGTCAGACCTAGTAAAGTCACTGCCATCTAAGGGCTACTCTGGGTATAGTGGAAGACGCACATCCCTGAGAAGCCATGTCAGAGGTTAAGCTGGGAAATAGACACTATGAAATTAACCTAACCAGTTAAAAAAAAAGTAAATAATAGCAAGCCCTAAGTATTGAGTATAGCATCCAGCTTCCACAATATGTAGCCTGAAAGGTCCTATTTACAACAGCAGCAACAACAACAACAAAATTGAAAGGGATGCATAAAACCCAGAAATTAGGTAGCATATAATAGGGAGAAAAACACCTGTGAGTTTAAATTAAGCAGATATCAATTAAGCAAATGTCAGATTTGTAGAAAAATAAGTAAGCAGAGTCACAGAACAAAAGAAAAACATATTTATAGAAGCAAATGGTGGTGTGTTGACAGTGTTTTGCTAAATAGAAAGTACTAATAAAGAAATAGAAATTACGAAAAGAACCCAGTGAAAATTTTTGAATTAAAAAGTATAATAACAGCAACAACAACAACGATGTCAGTCTAGGGACTCAAAAGTAGATTTAAATAGACAGATGAAAGAATTAACTAATTAGAATATGAATTGGTAAGAATTATACAACTTGAAATACAGAGAAAAAAGAGAATTTAAAAACAGTGAACCAAGATACAGAGGAATGTAGGACACCACACCAAGATTTACAGAATAGGAGCAGTGAGAAGAGAAAGAAAAGTAGCATAAAGAACACTAGAATAAGTAATGGCAGTAAACTTTCAAAATTTATTGAAAAATAATACCTTACATGTCCAGGAAGACTAATGAGCTTTTATGTAGGACAAATATAAGGACTCATAAATTGATAAATTCTGGTAAAAATGTGGAAAGTCTCAAAAGATAGGCAACCAAGAGCCCTCTATCCACCAGAGCTGTCTTCTAAAAATGAAGGTGAAACACTGACTTACCATGATAAACATGATAAACACTGAAGTTTTTGCTAGTCAATGTGCCTTACCAGAAATACTAAAACACTTTCTGCAAGCTGAAAATAAGTGAGCACAGGTAGTAATTCAGAGAACATGACAAAGAGCCCCAGAAAGATGTGTAGAATGACAGTTAAGCTGAATTGTGTCAACTGGATTGGCTTGGGAGCCACCTAGGGGATTAATAAAACACACTTCTCCATGTGTTGGGGTGGTTCATGGAGACATTGGGTATCATGTCTGGATCCTGGTCTCTACCTCTCAGGTACTGTTCTTCTGCTCTGCTTCCTGGCTGCCATGAACTATCTTTGATTTGCCATATTCTTCTGCCTTGATGTTTCTGCTAGGAGCCAACTAACAATGGATTAAATCCCCTGAAATCATGAGTCAAACTGAAAATTCCTTTAAATTGTGGGTGTTGGATATTTTGTTTCGGTGGCAAAAATCTAATACAAAAGTTGATACTGAATTCTATGATTATAATGCCATTAAAACTGACTTGTGGGAGATATTTTTAAGGATTGAAGCTGAAGGCTAGAGATGCCCAGAATGTTGTGATCAGTATTTGATATGCAATAATGGTCATAGCTCAGAAGACTAGAATTCTGATAAACAAGCAAAGAGTAAAGACCAGGATCAGGAAGTTTTAGATAAGCACAGGTTTTCATTAGTAGTTGAACAAAAGGCCATGTATGTCCTTTTGTTTTATGCCAACCTTCTGGCAAAGAACTTGTCTGAATTTTGCCCATGTTTGAAGACTTTGAGGACTATTGTGTAGACTAATTGGTCTGGCAGAGAAAAATATCAATGCAGCCCAATAGCTAGGTGAGCCTGTGATGTGGGTACCACTAGGTGCTTTTGGAAAGATTTGTATTAAAGATTATTTTTAAAGAGAGCAAAACATTTACAAACAAACTTTAGCCCCAAAGAAGTGATGAATATGGTTCTTAAAGAGACTGATGACATTTTAAAAATAGAAGTACTTCAGGGACAAAAAATATGCCTTAAAGGCATCTAAAAAATTGGCAATATCCCCCTGATTCCAGGCTAAAAAGTATGTTACTGTGCCCAGCCAGCTGGGAACTCAGAGGCCACCACAGCCATGTTTCAAGGGGCTTAGCTACTGCTTGGTAGACTGTGGCATTGTCCACATAATGTTCATCTTACTGGCCTGCAGAAAGCAAGAGTTGTGAGGTCAGTGAAGCTCCCACTTGTCTTTGAAAAAAAAAGGCTTGGACTGCCAGGCAAAGTGACCCTGAGAGGGCAGTTCATAAAGCTATAAAAATAAAGCTGAAGGTACAGTAGAGATCCCAGGAAGTTGAAGATGCCCCAAACATAAAGCATCTCCTAAGGAAAGGTGCAGGGAGTGGATGAAGTCAGCCCAAGAAGAGACCATGTGGGCTACAACCAACAAGACCAAAGGGGTGGGACTGCCCAAGGACTCAAACTCACATCTTACCACTTTGTGCCCCAGGTGCTGGACATGGAGGTACAGGACATATTTGCCTTGTTGGGGTTTGGGCCTTGCTTTGGTCTCATTCTTTTCTATTCTCACATTCATCTCTTTTTTTAAAAATAAAGATGTGATCTTGTGCCATCATACCTTGGAATTATGTAATTTGTTTTTTATTTTATACAAAGGTTTACAGCTAAGAATTAGCTTCTGTCTCAAAAAAAGATTTGAACTTTTAAAAAGGTTAAAACTGTTGAGACTTTGGAGAAGGGCCTATTTCATTTCTGGTTGAACACAAGATCATTGTATCCTGTGGGGTGAAATTATTCATTTAGTATTGTTTACTTGGAGATTAACTATGGTTTAGAGAGATGTCTTTGACAAGGGGTGGAATGTGATGTTTAGTTGACAAGGGATGGAATGTGACATTTAAGCTTAATGATGTCAACTAGATTGTCATGAGAGCCACCAAGGTGATTAGTTAAGCATTCTTCTGGTGTGTCTGGGTAGGTCATGGAGACATTAGCTTGTGTAGTATATATGGTCCCTGGCTCCTTCCTCTCTGGTTCTGTTCCTCTGCTATGCCTCCTAGTCATCATAAACTAAGCAGCTTTCCTCCATCATGCCCTTCTGCCATGATGTTTCTTAGAGCCACCTGACCATGGACTAAATCCCCTAAAATCATGAGCCAATTTAAACCTTTAAGGTGTGGATGTCTGGTATTATATCTCAGTGACAATGATATATATTCTTGCTTCTAATCATAACTGACTAAAATAATTTTAGAGAATAATATTTATGTAATATAATGTTTAGTCTATAACATAGAAATGAACATGTATACTTTGCCAAAACTAGCACTGGGGAAGTGTGTAGTAGAAGACCTGTATTGGGCTAAGAAAATGACTATCAATGACAAAGTGATGATTATACAAATGTATTTTTGAGTTTGGGACATTAAGAGATATAATATGTATAAGAGTCACACCAAAAGAAGAAAATGAAATTGAATTGTATAGATTTAATGTTTCGCTATCAGCAGAGTTAAACTAATGCAAATCTGAAGTTAATTCAGGTATAGTATGATATATACGATAAACCCTAAAACCTGTTAAACATATAGTATAACGTCCCTAATAAAATTAAAATCAACATTGAAAATATTCACCAAATGCAAAACAAAACAAAGAGGAAAAAAAGAAAAGAAAAAAAGCCATGATATAAGATGGCAAATGTAAAAACAGTAACTTCAAGAAAAATAACATACATGGGTTAGAGATGCAATCAAGAGAGAGTGATTGCTAGATTTGCTTTAACAATATGACCAACTATATGTGGTCTATAAAATACGTACTTTAAATTCAAAATTGCAGAGACTGAAGGAAAGTAGGTCAGCCTACTGTTGCATCAGTCCTTGGGGCTACTGCTGGGAACATAGCTAATTCATTTTCAGCCCCATATGTTCAGGTGTGTGCACAATGTTTCAGGAAAGAAAGTGACAAATGGTCATCACTCCTGTCCTACAGAAACTTATAGCTTATAGAGAACTGAAAAATAACCTAGTAAGTTCACTGGAAAGACCAAATTTCCAAGAGAGGGACATAAAAGGGGAGAAAAGGAAAGATCAGGAAAGGGCTGTAGAGGAGGTAGCATTGGAGAAACAAGTAGGGTGATGGCTTGTGCAGGGAGATTTGTTGGGGTGCAGCTCTGGGAGCTTCTGTTTCTCAGTGGGAACATGCTAAGGGTCTGCTTGAGGGTGTTTCAGCAGAGAAGTAACCTGCTTGTGCCTGTCCTGCACTAACATTACTCTCTGTAAAAATATAGTATGAACAAACCTGTCTTCTGCTTCATTTTATGCATGTGGTTTGGAGAGATAAAGGTATCCTGTAGCAGGGCTAAGAGTCATTGCTCATGGCTGTGTTTCCTGCTACCCTCAAGGCACACACTGCTGAGAATTTTCTGTTGGTGGAGATGTGAGCAACATCCAGGTGAGTGGCTCCTGCAGACACAGGTATGACAGATTTCCATCTTTTAAAAAAATAACATGGCTTGAAAAGGAGAAAGGAAACATGGGAGTAAACTGATTTAGGTTTGTAGTAATTCTGTGCCTTTAGTCTAAAGATATTATGTATTAAAAACAACCTCATTCTGTAATAAAGCAAATAATGACTTTAGCCGAGTGAGAAAGTACTCAGTGTTACATCATTTTAAAAATGTTTCATTGGTGGTTTCTCTTGCAGCAGAAGCTTTTTAGTAAGATGAGATTCCAGGTGTTGGTTCTTTGTGCTAGTTCCTGTGCTACTGAGGTTTCATTCAGAAACCTTTTCCTACACCAGTGTCTTCAAGAGTTCTACCTATCTTCCAGAAAGTTTAGTTTCTGTTTTCACACTGCTGAGAATTTTCTGTTGGTGGAGATGTGAGCAACATCCAGGTGAGTGGCTCCTGCAGACACAGGTATGACAGATTTCCATCTTTTAAAAAAATAACATGGCTTGAAAAGGAGAAAGGAAACATGGGAGTAAACTGATTTAGGTTTGTAGTAATTCTGTGCCTTTAGTCTAAAGATATTATGTATTAAAAACAACCTCATTCTGTAATAAAGCAAATAATGACTTTAGCCGAGTGAGAAAGTACTCAGTGTTACATCATTTTAAAAATGTTTCATTGGTGGTTTCTCTTGCAGCAGAAGCTTTTTAGTAAGATGAGATTCCAGGTGTTGGTTCTTTGTGCTAGTTCCTGTGCTACTGAGGTTTCATTCAGAAACCTTTTCCTACACCAGTGTCTTCAAGAGTTCTACCTATCTTCCAGAAAGTTTAGTGTTTCTGTTTTAATATTTAGATCTTTAATCCACTTCAATTTTAGTTTAGTGCATGGTGAAAGATACAGGTCTAGTATTAATGTTTGGCAGGTTGAAATCCAGTTTTTCTAGCACCTTTTATTAAGGAGGCTATCATTCCTCCAGTGAGGATGGTTGGCTCCTTTGTCAAAGAAGAGGTGGCTGAGTATGTCCAGAGTTGTTTCTGAACCGTCTAGTCCATTCCAGTAATCCTTGGGTCTCTTTGGCACTACTATGCTGTTTTTATCACAGTAGCTTTGTGGTTTAGTTTCAAGTTGGGGATCGTGATACCCCCTGTCATTTCTCTGTTGCTTAGAATTACTTTTGCTACTGTATATCTCTTCTGGTTCCAAATGATTTTATTTTCTCTAGTTCTGTGAAATATACTTTTGGGATTTTAGTTCATACACCCCACATATAAGTACCCAATTCAAAAATGGGTATCTGAAATGAACAGACACCTCTCAGACAAAGAAGTAAAAGCATCAAATAAACATATGAAGAAATATTCAACATCACTGGTCATTTGAGATGCAGATGAAAATACCACTGAGATTCCACCTCACCCCAGAAAGAATGGCTGCTATCAAGATATCAATACCAAATACTGGTGGGATTGTGGGGAGAAAGGAACCCTTCTTCATTGTTGGTGTGAGTGCATACTGGTGCAACGATTGTGGAAATCAATATGGAGATACCTCAAACAACTAATTTGGCCCAGTTATTCCTCTGCTGGGTGTCTCCCCAAAAGAATTAAAAGAATCATAACACAGCTATATATGCACACCCATGTTTATAACAGCAGAGTTTTTAATAGCTAAAGCTTGGAAACAGCCCAATTGCCCATCAGCTGGAGACTGGATAAAGAACATTTTTTATATTTATATAAAATGGAGTTTTATAAATATATAAAGTGGACTACTACTCAGTCATAAAGAAGGAAATACATTTATAGCTAAATGGATGCACAATGAGACCATACTCAAGTGAAATAAACAGGACGTACATGTAAACATCAAATAGTTTCTCTGGTGTGAGAAAGTAAAAGTGTAAATAAGGACTAAAATGTATAACTGATAATGAGAAACGGGAAGAAAAGGTCTAAAGCAGTAGCTAAAGTGGGAGCGGGAGGGAAAAGGAAGAGGGAAAGGAAAAAATATGAGAAAAGGAAAATATGGATACCAAGTATCTGTAAAAAGGGATGGTGGAGTGGTTGAAGTGAGGGCAGGGGAATGGGGAAAAATAAGAAGAAAGATACATCATGTAAAGGCACAAGTTTCTAGTGATGAATGTAATTGTATTGTATGCCTAAATGTACCAATAAGTTTAATGGGAAAAAAAAAAGAATAGGATATGTTATGTACATGAAGTGACTCCCTGCATGAATGAAACCATTATGTACTACAAACATGTACTAATAAAAATTAAAATTAAAAACCAAAAATATAAAGAGGTCCAGGAAAAATATATTACTTTGAAGATATGGTTCTATACTATCAGAACTTGATTTTTGTAGTAAGTTTTCAGGACATTCAGATTCTGCTGCAGTTTTATTCTTAGAAACATATCCTTTAAAACTAAAATTAAATAACTTCAGACTCTTCACAGACACTGAAAAATAGTCAACATTAAACAAGCTTGGAAACAATTAGCTTCTTAAGAAGCAAGTATGTGCTTTAGGTCTAAAATACCCATCTGTCCCCTGGGTGGTAGGAATGAAACACTGCCCCCAAGAAGCACATCCATCAGACCAGAACATGCTAAGGGGCACTCATTCCCACCCATGCCAAGCCAACAGCTTCTCCTCACAACCTCCTTCCCTCTCTGTAGCAGTTATTTCTTTATGTCTTTCAGTAACAACTCTTACAAAGTAGCTAATGGGAATAATGCCACCAAATGACTTCCTTAATGATGAAATGGCACTATTTTGAAGACTTAGGAAGAAGCAGATGGCTCTGCAGATGAATTTTATGTTCCCAATTTTAAAATCAGGATTATCACTCTTGCCAGTAGTGGGCTAATGGATATTTGTCATTAGACATGCTCTGCTAATTGATCTGCTCACACATGTTCCAAATATTTTCTTCACAATCTGCCTTAAAGGAATACGTGCTGGCTGTTTGTATTGCTCCAAGTATGAAGCATCTTATAAGCTTTCAGTGAGTAAACTGATGCATTAATGACTGTTTTAAGAAGTAATGAAAATAGCCTTTAACACTGCAGACAAAAAGCAACCAAATTGCCACTCCTCCTAAGTCCAGGGTGGCTGGGCCAGGAAAATCATGAAAAAGATCCCACACTATGGTCAGCACCAATCCCTCTTTCAGCTGCCTCCCTTGTGTTATGTGACCACCTGTTTTCTGCTGGACAAAGGGGTCTCTGTGAGTTTTCTTTCCTTCCACCATAAATAATGTGCTCCAGTAACCCCAGCTGGTGAAGACACTGCCACAGTGTCTGGAGAAGCCACACAGCATCGTGGGGTGCACGGATGAACACAGACCAAGTTGCACGCAGTGTCTGGAGGAGCTGGGACAGGACTATGGAGTGAGTGGAAGAGCACGGACTGGACTTGCATTCCATACATTTGCCCCTAGAGGTTCCCTCCTGAACAGCTCATGATTCTCCTGTGGGAAGCCAGATTTGGGTCTCCTACTCTCTTACAGTCACTCATATCCTGCCACAGCCCAGGGCTTTGACAGATTTCCATTCCTGTCACCCTGCACCTCCCAGAGTCAGGCATGGGTTAACGTCTTTGGGAAGTTGTTGGTGCTTGATTTTGGTCTTTCAACCTGAGAGTTTGCACAGGAAATTTTAAATTTACATGAGCAATGACACAAAGCTTTCCCTGTAACTGAATGACCCAGCAGAGAACATGGCTCACAGCAATGGTGTCGGGCTCTTCACATGGAATGGGTCACCAGTTCATGATGGAGGATGCACACAGAGGACTTCAGGGACTTAGGGGTGGCTGTGGGTTCTTTTTCACAGGGTGGGGTGTGAGACCCAAGAGTTCAGGATATTCCTTCACGTTACCCTCTGTGGATAACTCTGAGGAGACATAGTGAACCTCCCTGCTAAGTACTGTCTCAAAATCCATTTTGAGATAAAAAATAGTCCACTAATATTTTAAGAAAGACCAAAAATATATTTTCAAGTGTTAGTTATCATTTCCTTCACACACAAGGCTTTTAAATTTTTTCCTTTTAAGAAAATTTTGATTTTTTCTGAGAGCATCAAGGGCGCCTGCGGGTGAGCCTGTGTTGCTACCTCTTGCTGTGTGCATCATCCAGGGAAAGGAGCAGAGAACAGAGCTCTCCAGAAGTGGTGAGGTAAGTGACAGCACCGAGTGTTTCTGTACACCACAGAGGCATTTTTACTGCTGATTTAAGAACAGTGCTTTCCTCCAGGTAAGAGGAAGGGCATGCTCCAAAGGCACTGTAAACACTGTGGAGGAAAGGAGGAGGAAAGAAAGGAGGAGCCGTGCTTTCACTTTATGACTGACAGGAATGTCACTGCTCGTGGCCCGTGGCAGGGGTCTTGGCACTCAGTAAAGCACATCGCCCTTGGTGAAGGAAGAGCTCAGAGTGCTCAGGACCCACGAGAGTTCTTGATGCCTCACGCACAGGGTGCCAAGGGTGGAGGAAGCAAAGGGTGTCCAGGGATGTTGCCTGACCTTGGCAAGGACACGTGCTAGGAAGCACTGTTGTGTAATTCATTAACTTTCTTCTCAGTGAACACACTTTAGTGACTTATTTTTGTGTTGTAGATAAGGAGTTGGTGTGAGGGACTCAGGTAGTATCTGGCTGGTACCCTTTCAGGCAAGCCATGCTCTTCCTGTCTCTGATGGCAGCAGTGCAGCTCACCTGTCCCCTGTCCCACCTGCTGACTCTGGACTGGCACCTCATTGCCTCCCTCAGGGACTCCTGCAGTTTTGTAACGAGTGTTCCACACTGGCTCACCTCATGCAGGACTGGTTTGTTTTAGGTCCTTGGAATTGGCCCAGTGTTTCTGTTGGGATCACACAGCCTCGCGTACCCCAATCCCAGGGTGGTTACAGAGTCACCATGCCCTGCCTTTGTGGGTCAGGTGCAGGCCCCCACCTTGCCTTGTGGACTGAGCCACCTGTGCCTGGAGCGCTGGACATCAGTCTTCCCTGGAGAGCCACAGAGGACAGGACAAGGCAAAGTTGCCCTAAGGAAGGATGGGTACCAATTGGGCTTTGCCCTGAGCCACAGGGTGTGGGTATGGACCCAGCCCAGGGAACCATGGCTCTGCCTTGCTCTGTCCCCTCACCTGGCCTCCTGTTCCACTGTTGTGTCACCTACCCCTCCTCCCCACTCCTCCCCACACCTCCTCACCCTTCCACTCACTCTTCAGCCAGTCCCGCTGCTCGGCCCTCTCTGCCATGCACACCATCCCTTAGTTCAGTGTTCTCTTCCAGGTGAGCGCTCCTCCCAAGAGACTCAGTCACCCTCTGTGCCCATTGCTTCTGCACCGAGGATCCAACATCCAGGAAGGAGAAATGAATCTGTATCAAACATCTGCTTTTACCTTGTCCTGTACCCTAAAATACACAGTACAAATGTTATTTACAGAGTATTGACAATGTAACGGGTGTTGTGACTTAGACATGGGTTAAAGTGCATGGAGGATATGGGTAGTTTCTGTGGGAACGTTGCACCATTTTATATTAGGGACACACACATCAGGGGATTTTACCCACTAAGGGCCCTGAAAGCAGAGGAGATTGTATTCCTCACCTTTACACTGCTAGAGAGAATCTAGCTGTCGGGAATCTCAGAGTCTAATGGAATCACACTGAAAGCATTTCATGGACATCTAGCATGATGAAGATTGGGTTTTGTGCATTGCTCTGGAAGTTCTTAAGCCATATAGGAAATATCAGTATAGAGGAAAGGAAACTGGTGTTTCAAAACTTGCAAACTCTGTTTGGTTTACTTTCCCTCTGAAACTGTAGATCCTCTGAGGATCCCCAGATAACACAGAGTCTGTTAGTGTTTAGCTCTGGGGTGCTTTCTGAGGTTGTCCTCTTTTGTTCATGTGAAGTCAGCCCCCATCCTGCAGCCCTTGCTGTCTTCAGTCTCTGGCAGCTGCCACTTGGCTGTTCTCTCAGTCACTGTGAAGAGCGGCTCTATCCTCTTTCCTTCAGGAGTGCTGGGCAGCAGACCCCGCAGGGTCGCTGGCTGGGCCAGGGCTCTGAGCTGTTCTCTTCTAGGCTGTTGCAGCCGTGCTGGAGCTGGACTTAGCCTCCACTCTCCCTCTGCACACTCTGTCCTCTCTCATCCTGCACCTGGGTGTGACTCCCCTGAGGAAGGACAAGCACAGCCCTGCTAGTCTCCTGGCATCTCCCTTCCCTCAAGGGCATCTCTACACTTCCCATGCAGGACTCCTCTCTGGGCTGTGTGTGTCACCCCGTAACCCAGCTGTGCCTCTGTGTCAGCCCTGGCTCAGTGGCTGGGTCTTGCTTCCCTTCTGGGTGAGGCTATCTGCTTTCTGCAGGTCTAGAAACTTCAGGGATCCCTTGCCCACACTGGTACTGTTTGGCTTATCATGGTTTTCTTGCCTAAATTGTTTCCATGTAGCCCTGGGCTGAGCTGATCATTACCTGCTATGCCAATGCCTAAGGTATCTGATGTGGAGCAGGAGGGAATGTCCACTCATTAAGTTAATAATGTGATTGAGTTGTAGGAAGCAGCAATTCATTGGAAAAATCTCCTCCAAAATGAGGGGTGAAGCCGGGAGTGGTGGTGCACACCTGTAATCCCAGCACTCGGGAGGCTGAGGCAGGAGGATTGCTGCGAGTTCGAGATCAGCCTGGGCTCCATAGTGAGTTCCAGGTCAGTGTCAATTACATAGTGAGACCCTGTCTCAAAAAACAAACAAACAAACAAAATGAGGGGTGCAGTAAATCTTTTTGCCTGTGCCGTGATGCAGATAACATTAAGATGTAATGATGTTAGAAACATATATTTAAAGGGGAAAAGCCCTTCTCAAAAACCTAGAAACTGCATATTGTGCCTTAGAAGACCTGTAAATGCCAAGAATTCTGTCTGCACAAGGAATTGAACAGGAATAACACAGTTGAGTAAATGCAAAAGAATAACATGACACTTCTGCCAATCTCCATCTGAATTACCCTGAGAAAAGTGGAAGGAGTCACGTCATCGGTTAAGTCACACCTCTCTTTCTCAAAAGTACCTACCCTGGTCCCGGGACTACCAGCCCTTTTCCATCCACATCCTCCTGGCATGTAACTCTTCTCTTTGGGCCTTTTCCTAAGAGAACAGTGTTGCCTCTTGCACACCTTGCATGCATGCCCCTCCCTCTCCTCTCTCTCTCTGACTCTGGGCTCCATGTCCAGGAACCAAACCAGACTGTCCCTCATGTCAGTGGGAAGTATTTGCCCAAGGTATGGGCTCCTCTGGCAGTGGGAACTGAGATAGGTGTTTGCCTGGCAAGGTCTCTTTCTAATGAGATCAGCTGAAGTTGTACGTGAGAGAAGAATACAACACATAGCATATTGACTTTGGTTGCTCTGTAGGATTTGAACACCATCTTTTTTATTTTTATCATTTAACTACCTTGTTTCCATCCTCCTTTTCTACATCATCTCACATAAAGAGTTGGGTGGAAAGTTTTAGTTCTTTTTCCTCTAATACAATTGCATACGTATGAAGAGAAATTTATTTCAGCATTTATTTTCTCCCGCAGTAGTGGAGGGGATATAATCCATGAATGTGGCTTTCTACTTGTGCTGTTTTTAAAGATGTTTTCTTTTATAACTAGTGAAACCAGCAATGAGGAACACATTTTTCTAGTGTTTGGCCATTCTTGCATCATAACATTCTTCTTATATAGCAGGTCATTTAAGAAAACAGCAGGCAGAGGTCTAGAATCAGTTTATAATTGCTTTTAACCTAGTAGCTCACCCCAGGAGGTGTCCTTGCGTTGAGATTTTCATTTCTGATTTCTCTAGGTGGTCCCAAGACTCCACGGTGAGCAAAGGAACTGGGGTCTGCAGTGCATGTCATTGTAGACATGGGTGAGGACCTTTCACTTGTTCCTCTGTAGCTGTGGGGACACAGGGTGTCCACTTCTGTCCCAGCATTATCTCTCATCGCTTCCCCTTCCCCTTCAGTACTGATCCAATTAGCATCAGGGACAGGGAAGGTGACAGCTGCCACCACACTGTGTGCTGCAACCACATTGCTTTCATTTTTATTTTCCTTCTATCTGAAGAGAAAAGAAGATTGTATTTTCAATCACAGAGCAGAGACTCTGCTAGAGTATTTTTAATGTCTTGTTTTTTAAACATAAAGCCTGGGAAAGCTAACAGAGAAGAGTGATTTACATGGGCAAGTGCTGATTCTTGGCTTTATCATCATATCTAAAACTGCAGTTCCTTGCTAATCAAATTAATGGTAGACATGTCCTAGTATTTATTACTTTTCACCAAATGTTTCAAAAACAAATCTACCTATCTCTTTACTTCTAAGGGCTTGGTTACCAGCAATAAAGACTGAATTCGATGACTGGCACATAAACCAGCATCAATGGAAATCATAACCCAATCACTATGTAAGCACCATAGCAGAGTAGGTCCTGTGACTAGGCAAGGAGGTCACATGTCCTAGCAAGGGTAGTGATGAAGGTTGCTCGCAGAGGTGATGTCCAGCTGGGCTATGGAGGGTGTTAGAAAAAAAGGAGAGGAAACTGAGCTCCACAAAAGAGGATGGAATTTATTGGAATAAAAGCTAAGAGGGACTGAGGACCAAGTGGTGCCTCTCTAATAAGCTGAGGGGCTTTTATGGGATTTGTAGGAGGACACTGCTGCTATCTTGAAACAGGCTGTGTTCTGAAATCCGTGATCACTGGACTGTGGTGCTGATGTGTGTTTTTCCATAACTGGTGGGAAAATAGCAGTTCCCCTGACTTCCTCATTTAATAATGGCTGGTAAATCTTGGGACTTGATGTGGTGGTTCTCCATTCAAGACAGCATTTCTCTAACTCTCTGAGAGGATGCGCTCAGGAGGTGGAATTGAGCAGTGGAGATGTAACACACCTTGGCAGTGGCCAGAGACCCAGGGCACCACCTACTGGACAGGAAATGTTTGCAGCATCCAAGGCCAGAGGGAGTGGGAGCCCTGACTGAACTGTGTGTGACCAGGGATAATTATTCTTCCTCATCTCAGTGGACCTGCTTGTGTCTGGTTCTGAAGGCCACAGAGAGCTGGCCAAGATTTCTGAAACCCCCTGGAATCCTGTGGTCTCAGAGTGGAAGAAACAGTGAGGTATGATGTGACGGTG